TATGCCGTGCTAATCCCTCACCAGTTCTGGTCGTTCAAACACCGGTTTAACCTTCCCGTACTAATACGTCAATTTCACGAACGAACCCCGAATTAAAATCCGAGACCGTCCTATTATCCCCTGCAGTATCCCCGTCAATATTAGTTCTAGGCTCCGGGTCAAATTCTTGATAAAAACATATCAAACCCTGGCCGGAGCTAAATTCAGCGATCCCGGCTCCGACCTAAATAATTGCCGAAATTCAGGGATTAGAACTAGAGGATTGATTACCTCGCTGCAGGAAGCTCGTATTTGAAATTTGGGCTCAATCCGGCTTCCGGATACTCCGAAACACTAATTTGGCTTATCGGGAATTCGAGAAATTCCTGAACCAAAAACTCGTTTTAAAGCTCTAAATAGATAAATCATGATGAATAGATGAATTAGGCGTTACTTACGAGATTTTTGGATCACTTATGCTCAAGAATTGAGCTCTGAGATTTTCCCCCTCGCTTCCCTTGAGCGCCTCTGTTCGCTCTGCTCTCGGTGAATGGAGAAAGAAAAGAAAATGATAATGGACGGGGTGGGGGAAGCTAATATATATCTTAATTAATATATATATATATATAATTAATACCTATACTTATTCGATCGATAATCCGATTTTCGCCGAAATAGTGTCGAAATGCTCGATTTTAAATCGCGAACTTTCTAGCGATCGAAATATGGGTTTTGCCGGAATGGGATGTTACAATTCTCCCCTCCTTAAAAAGATTTCGTTCCCGAAATCTAACCTTGAGTTGTACCCTTACTCCGCTTACTTACCCTTGACATGATCGATCGTACCTAAGGTTATTACCTAACTCTTAGGTTAGGAGATCTGAATTACATAACTAAACACATAACACCTCAAGTTCCCAATATAAGGTTTCAAAAACCTACACTGGGCTATCACAACAAAAGCACATCAACAAATTCAAAACATAACTTACTAAGCAAGATTGTTAACCTGCAAAGTAGGTTGCCACTAACACAAGGTCATACCAACCTATAAAATGGTTGTCACCAGATCATCAAGAATCATATCCATGTTAAAATCTCTACCACCACAACTCATCTTGTTGGCATAATCTAAAATCAACTGCATTGCATAGCTAGCCACCATGCTTCTCGATCAGTTAGTAGGATTTCTAGGACAACTTCTGTGCGAGCTACAAGGAAATATTGGCCATAACTTGATCCACACACCATTAAAAATTTCTGCCAAAATAATAACTTGTAAAACAAGATTAAAAACTCAACAAAATTTTCAAAATCTCTTAAACCATAAAATTTTCAAGATTCCTTCAAATACTCAAAATCATTTTTGACTAAATGTAACTAACTATGCAACACATCATCACCTTTGGTCTCAATTCCTGGCAAGTTTAGTGCAAGTACAGGTATGGAGTACTCCCTCCCCTTACGAGGGTGATCAGTCCTCAAGGGTGAAAGTAACACACCCATAATGCAGAAAACAAACCAGCTCTGATACCAAACTGTAACACCCTACCCTATACGTATTACCTAATCATATTGTTCATACAATTGCAGCGGAAATAATCTCGGGTGTTACATTAATTATCAAAATTTACCCAAATAAAATTTCGACATGAATTACTCGCGTAATGGGCTAACAGTTCTTGCAACTTATCCTGCAAAATAATTCATCACAAACATATATATTCACAACCATAGGCATTGGCTTTTCTTAGCCATAGCCACACTTTTCATACTCCACAACTGCATACCATACTTATACATGCCATAATCGTCACAACTTACATAATTACACAAATATACACATATCATCAACTTTCCACACCTGTGGATATCTCACACTACATCAGAAGCTAGTATGCACATGAAAAACGTTCTCAAAACATTTTACAAAAGGTGTGGATCACTGGCCAAAATCCCGAGTAGTAGTCCAAGCACAGAATAGTTGAAGACCATACCTCATCTTGCCTTCAACTCTTGCTCAGCTCCCACCTATACACCTATCTACTGCTGCTGCTGATGATGATCTGCTTACACATAGCATAAGCAGAGGAAAATAATAAAAGAGGGTCAGCTCATAGCTGAGTGAGATAATCATAGCATAGTGAGTTCATAACAGAGCATACCCCTACCATACATCTAGCAACCAAGCCAAAGCACTAGGATCAGACCTCAGCCATCCGACATCCCAATAGGTAAAAGACTCAACCACCTTGACTTATGCATATGCGTCTTATCATGTTTTACTTATAGGCGCCTGGCTACTCCCATGCTAATTACTCTCCCGGGAATACGGACCAAACATCTCGTGGATGTGGTCATATCGGACCCACCACTGCCGGTGTAGTCATATCGGACCTGACACCACTATGGGTGTGGTCATATCGGACTCAACACCACTCTGGGTGTGGTCATATCTCATGATGAATCAACGGTCAACACCACATCAGGGGGTGTGACATAACATATCATAACGGAGTAATAGCATGGGGAGCCCTAATTACTATGTAATTGACCATGAGACCAAATCACTCTTGTTTGGTAATCTTATACATGATCCATATCTCATCTTGCTTAATCATAATTCGTTACTTGGACATGTTCTTGACCTGGCCACAATTGGCTCAACATAACCAGGAGTCGTATAATTGCACTTCCTCGGGATAAACCCTCGTGCGAGTCATCCTCCTTAAACATCATAATATCACCATGAGATATATATTTTCCCACTTGTGCATCCAAATATAACCACAATATCACATCATGTCAAAACACCTGATCGAACAACCATGAAGTCATATCAACGGTTAAGCCACAAATGGCAACATGTATGCAATCATCAACATAAACAAGGTCCATATCGGATAGGGCAAGTCAATAATATCATACAACAATCCATGGTTCATCATATAGCATAAAAGTCCATACACCCCTAATCATGCCATTCTAGTTCACCTAGATCAATTCTAAGCATCAATATAATTATCGTGATACGACAAACCCGGTATGCCGTGCTAATCCCTCACCAGTTCTGGTCGTTCAAACACCGGTTTAACCTTCCCGTACTAATACGTCAATTTCACGAACGAACCCCGAATTAAAATCCGAGACCGTCCTATTATCCCCTGCAGTATCCCCGTCAATATTAGTTCTAGGCTCCGGGTCAAATTCTTGATAAAAACATATCAAACCCTGGCCGGAGCTAAATTCAGCGATCCCGGCTCCGACCTAAATAATTGCCGAAATTCAGGGATTAGAACTAGAGGATTGATTACCTCGCTGCAGGAAGCTCGTATTTGAAATTTGGGCTCAATCCGGCTTCCGGATACTCCGAAACACTAATTTGGCTTATCGGGAATTCGAGAAATTCCTGAACCAAAAACTCGTTTTAAAGCTCTAAATAGATAAATCATGATGAATAGATGAATTAGGCGTTACTTACGAGATTTTTGGATCACTTATGCTCAAGAATTGAGCTCTGAGATTTTCCCCCTCGCTTCCCTTGAGCGCCTCTGTTCGCTCTGCTCTCGGTGAATGGAGAAAGAAAAGAAAATGATAATGGACGGGGTGGGGGAAGCTAATATATATCTTAATTAATATATATATATATATATAATTAATACCTATACTTATTCGATCGATAATCCGATTTTCGCCGAAATAGTGTCGAAATGCTCGATTTTAAATCGCGAACTTTCTAGCGATCGAAATATGGGTTTTGCCGGAATGGGATGTTACAATTCTCCCCTCCTTAAAAAGATTTCGTTCCCGAAATCTAACCTTGAGTTGTACCCTTACTCCGCTTACTTACCCTTGACATGATCGATCGTACCTAAGGTTATTACCTAACTCTTAGGTTAGGAGATCTGAATTACATAACTAAACACATAACACCTCGAGTTCCCAATATAAGGTTTCAAAAACCTACACTGGGCTATCACAACAAAAGCACATCAACAAATTCAAAACATAACTTACTAAGCAAGATTGTTAACCTGCAAAGTAGGTTGCCACTAACACAAGGTCATACCAACCTATAAAATGGTTGTCACCAGATCATCAAGAATCATATCCATGTTAAAATCTCTACCACCACAACTCATCTTGTTGGCATAATCTAAAATCAACTGCATTGCATAGCTAGCCACCATGCTTCTCGATCAGTTAGTAGGATTTCTAGGACAACTTCTGTGCGAGCTACAAGGAAATATTGGCCATAACTTGATCCACACACCATTAAAAATTTCTGCCAAAATAATAACTTGTAAAACAAGATTAAAAACTCAACAAAATTTTCAAAATCTCTTAAACCATAAAATTTTCAAGATTCCTTCAAATACTCAAAATCATTTTTGACTAAATGTAACTAACTATGCAACACATCATCACCTTTGGTCTCAATTCCTGGCAAGTTTAGTGCAAGTACAGGTATGGAGTACTCCCTCCCCTTACGAGGGTGATCAGTCCTCAAGGGTGAAAGTAACACACCCATAATGCAGAAAACAAACCAGCTCTGATACCAAACTGTAACACCCTACCCTATACGTATTACCTAATCATATTGTTCATACAATTGCAGCGGAAATAATCTCGGGTGTTACATTAATTATCAAAATTTACCCAAATAAAATTTCGACATGAATTACTCGCGTAATGGGCTAACAGTTCTTGCAACTTATCCTGCAAAATAATTCATCACAAACATATATATTCACAACCATAGGCATTGGCTTTTCTTAGCCATAGCCACACTTTTCATACTCCACAACTGCATACCATACTTATACATGCCATAATCGTCACAACTTACATAATTACACAAATATACACATATCATCAACTTTCCACACCTGTGGATATCTCACACTACATCAGAAGCTAGTATGCACATGAAAAACGTTCTCAAAACATTTTACAAAAGGTGTGGATCACTGGCCAAAATCCCGAGTAGTAGTCCAAGCACAGAATAGTTGAAGACCATACCTCATCTTGCCTTCAACTCTTGCTCAGCTCCCACCTATACACCTATCTACTGCTGCTGCTGATGATGATCTGCTTACACATAGCATAAGCAGAGGAAAATAATAAAAGAGGGTCAGCTCATAGCTGAGTGAGATAATCATAGCATAGTGAGTTCATAACAGAGCATACCCCTACCATACATCTAGCAACCAAGCCAAAGCACTAGGATCAGACCTCAGCCATCCGACATCCCAATAGGTAAAAGACTCAACCACCTTGACTTATGCATATGCGTCTTATCATGTTTTACTTATAGGCGCCTGGCTACTCCCATGCTAATTACTCTCCCGGGAATACGGACCAAACATCTCGTGGATGTGGTCATATCGGACCCACCACTGCCGGTATAGTCATATCGGACCTGACACCACTATGGGTGTGGTCATATCGGACTCAACACCACTCTGGGTGTGGTCATATCTCATGATGAATCAACGGTCAACACCACATCAGGGGGTGTGACATAACATATCATAACGGAGTAATAGCATGGGGAGCCCTAATTACTATGTAATTGACCATGAGACCAAATCACTCTTGTTTGGTAATCTTATACATGATCCATATCTCATCTTGCTTAATCATAATTCGTTACTTGGACATGTTCTTGACCTGGCCACAATTGGCTCAACATAACCAGGAGTCGTATAATTGCACTTCCTCGGGATAAACCCTCGTGCGAGTCATCCTCCTTAAACATCATAATATCACCATGAGATATATATTTTCCCACTTGTGCATCCAAATATAACCACAATATCACATCATGTCAAAACACCTGATCGAACAACCATGAAGTCATATCAACGGTTAAGCCACAAATGGCAACATGTATGCAATCATCAACATAAACAAGGTCCATATCGGATAGGGCAAGTCAATAATATCATACAACAATCCATGGTTCATCATATAGCATAAAAGTCCATACACCCCTAATCATGCCATTCTAGTTCACCTAGATCAATTCTAAGCATCAATATAATTATCGTGATACGACAAACCCGGTATGCCGTGCTAATCCCTCACCAGTTCTGGTCGTTCAAACACCGGTTTAACCTTCCCGTACTAATACGTCAATTTCACGAACGAACCCCGAATTAAAATCCGAGACCGTCCTATTATCCCCTGCAGTATCCCCGTCAATATTAGTTCTAGGCTCCGGGTCAAATTCTTGATAAAAACATATCAAACCCTGGCCGGAGCTAAATTCAGCGATCCCGGCTCCGACCTAAATAATTGCCGAAATTCAGGGATTAGAACTAGAGGATTGATTACCTCGCTGCAGGAAGCTCGTATTTGAAATTTGGGCTCAATCCGGCTTCCGGATACTCCGAAACACTAATTTGGCTTATCGGGAATTCGAGAAATTCCTGAACCAAAAACTCGTTTTAAAGCTCTAAATAGATAAATCATGATGAATAGATGAATTAGGCGTTACTTACGAGATTTTTGGATCACTTATGCTCAAGAATTGAGCTCTGAGATTTTCCCCCTCGCTTCCCTTGAGCGCCTCTGTTCGCTCTGCTCTCGGTGAATGGAGAAAGAAAAGAAAATGATAATGGACGGGGTGGGGGAAGCTAATATATATCTTAATTAATATATATATATATAATTAATACCTATACTTATTCGATCGATAATCCGATTTTCGCCGAAATAGTGTCGAAATGCTCGATTTTAAATCGCGAACTTTCTAGCGATCGAAATATGGGTTTTGCCGGAATGGGATGTTACAATTCTCCCCTCCTTAAAAAGATTTCGTTCCCGAAATCTAACCTTGAGTTGTACCCTTACTCCGCTTACTTACCCTTGACATGATCGATCGTACCTAAGGTTATTACCTAACTCTTAGGTTAGGAGATCTGAATTACATAACTAAACACATAACACCTCGAGTTCCCAATATAAGGTTTCAAAAACCTACACTGGGCTATCACAACAAAAGCACATCAACAAATTCAAAACATAACTTACTAAGCAAGATTGTTAACCTGCAAAGTAGGTTGCCACTAACACAAGGTCATACCAACCTATAAAATGGTTGTCACCAGATCATCAAGAATCATATCCATGTTAAAATCTCTACCACCACAACTCATCTTGTTGGCATAATCTAAAATCAACTGCATTGCATAGCTAGCCACCATGCTTCTCGATCAGTTAGTAGGATTTCTAGGACAACTTCTGTGCGAGCTACAAGGAAATATTGGCCATAACTTGATCCACACACCATTAAAAATTTCTGCCAAAATAATAACTTGTAAAACAAGATTAAAAACTCAACAAAATTTTCAAAATCTCTTAAACCATAAAATTTTCAAGATTCCTTCAAATACTCAAAATCATTTTTGACTAAATATAACTAACTATGCAACACATCATCACCTTTGGTCTCAATTCCTGGCAAGTTTAGTGCAAGTACAGGTATGGAGTACTCCCTCCCCTTACGAGGGTGATCAGTCCTCAAGGGTGAAAGTAACACACCCATAATGCAGAAAACAAACCAGCTCTGATACCAAACTGTAACACCCTACCCTATACGTATTACCTAATCATATTGTTCATACAATTGCAGCGGAAATAATCTCGGGTGTTACATTAATTATCAAAATTTACCCAAATAAAATTTCGACATGAATTACTCGCGTAATGGGCTAACAGTTCTTGCAACTTATCCTGCAAAATAATTCATCACAAACATATATATTCACAACCATAGGCATTGGCTTTTCTTAGCCATAGCCACACTTTTCATACTCCACAACTGCATACAATACTTATACATGCCATAATCGTCACAACTTACATAATTACACAAATATACACATATCATCAACTTTCCACACCTGTGGATATCTCACACTACATCAGAAGCTAGTATGCACATGAAAAACGTTCTCAAAACATTTTACAAAAGGTGTGGATCACTGGCCAAAATCCCGAGTAGTAGTCCAAGCACAGAATAGTTGAAGACCATACCTCATCTTGCCTTCAACTCTTGCTCAGCTCCCACCTATACACCTATCTACTGCTGCTGCTGATGATGATCTGCTTACACATAGCATAAGCAGAGGAAAATAATAAAAGAGGGTCAGCTCATAGCTGAGTGAGATAATCATAGCATAGTGAGTTCATAACAGAGCATACCCCTACCATACATCTAGCAACCAAGCCAAAGCACTAGGATCAGACCTCAGCCATCCGACATCCCAATAGGTAAAAGACTCAACCACCTTGACTTATGCATATGCGTCTTATCATGTTTTACTTATAGGCGCCTGGCTACTCCCATGCTAATTACTCTCCCGGGAATACGGACCAAACATCTCGTGGATGTGGTCATATCGGACCCACCACTGCCGGTGTAGTCATATCGGACCTGACACCACTATGGGTGTGGTCATATCGGACTCAACACCACTCTGGGTGTGGTCATATCTCATGATGAATCAACGGTCAACACCACATCAGGGGGTGTGACATAACATATCATAACGGAGTAATAGCATGGGGAGCCCTAATTACTATGTAATTGACCATGAGACCAAATCACTCTTGTTTGGTAATCTTATACATGATCCATATCTCATCTTGCTTAATCATAATTCGTTACTTGGACATGTTCTTGACCTGGCCACAATTGGCTCAACATAACCAGGAGTCGTATAATTGCACTTCCTCGGGATAAACCCTCGTGCGAGTCATCCTCCTTAAACATCATAATATCACCATGAGATATATATTTTCCCACTTGTGCATCCAAATATAACCACAATATCACATCATGTCAAAACACCTGATCGAACAACCATGAAGTCATATCAACGGTTAAGCCACAAATGGCAACATGTATGCAATCATCAACATAAACAAGGTCCATATCGGATAGGGCAAGTCAATAATATCATACAACAATCCATGGTTCATCATATAGCATAAAAGTCCATACACCCCTAATCATGCCATTCTAGTTCACCTAGATCAATTCTAAGCATCAATATAATTATCGTGATACGACAAACCCGGTATGCCGTGCTAATCCCTCACCAGTTCTGGTCGTTCAAACACCGGTTTAACCTTCCCGTACTAATACGTCAATTTCACGAACGAACCCCGAATTAAAATCCGAGACCGTCCTATTATCCCCTGCAGTATCCCCGTCAATATTAGTTCTAGGCTCCGGGTCAAATTCTTGATAAAAACATATCAAACCCTGGCCGGAGCTAAATTCAGCGATCCCGGCTCCGACCTAAATAATTGCCGAAATTCAGGGATTAGAACTAGAGGATTGATTACCTCGCTGCAGGAAGCTCGTATTTGAAATTTGGGCTCAATCCGGCTTCCGGATACTCCGAAACACTAATTTGGCTTATCGGGAATTCGAGAAATTCCTGAACCAAAAACTCGTTTTAAAGCTCTAAATAGATAAATCATGATGAATAGATGAATTAGGCGTTACTTACGAGATTTTTGGATCACTTATGCTCAAGAATTGAGCTCTGAGATTTTCCCCCTCGCTTCCCTTGAGCGCCTCTGTTCGCTCTGCTCTCGGTGAATGGAGAAAGAAAAGAAAATGATAATGGACGGGGTGGGGGAAGCTAATATATATCTTAATTAATATATATATATATATATAATTAATACGTATACTTATTCGATCGATAATCCGATTTTCGCCGAAATAGTGTCGAAATGCTCGATTTTAAATCGCGAACTTTCTAGCGATCGAAATATGGGTTTTGCCGGAATGGGATGTTACAATTCTCCCCTCCTTAAAAAGATTTCGTTCCCGAAATCTAACCTTGAGTTGTACCCTTACTCCGCTTACTTACCCTTGACATGATCGATCGTACCTAAGGTTATTACCTAACTCTTAGGTTAGGAGATCTGAATTACATAACTAAACACATAACACCTCAAGTTCCCAATATAAGGTTTCAAAAACCTACACTGGGCTATCACAACAAAAGCACATCAACAAATTCAAAACATAACTTACTAAGCAAGATTGTTAACCTGCAAAGTAGGTTGCCACTAACACAAGGTCATACCAACCTATAAAATGGTTGTCACCAGATCATCAAGAATCATATCCATGTTAAAATCTCTACCACCACAACTCATCTTGTTGGCATAATCTAAAATCAACTGCATTGCATAGCTAGCCACCATGCTTCTCGATCAGTTAGTAGGATTTCTAGGACAACTTCTGTGCGAGCTACAAGGAAATATTGGCCATAACTTGATCCACACACCATTAAAAATTTCTGCCAAAATAATAACTTGTAAAACAAGATTAAAAACTCAACAAAATTTTCAAAATCTCTTAAACCATAAAATTTTCAAGATTCCTTCAAATACTCAAAATCATTTTTGACTAAATGTAACTAACTATGCAACACATCATCACCTTTGGTCTCAATTCCTGGCAAGTTTAGTGCAAGTACAGGTATGGAGTACTCCCTCCCCTTACGAGGGTGATCAGTCCTCAAGGGTGAAAGTAACACACCCATAATGCAGAAAACAAACCAGCTCTGATACCAAACTGTAACACCCTACCCTATACGTATTACCTAATCATATTGTTCATACAATTGCAGCGGAAATAATCTCGGGTGTTACATTAATTATCAAAATTTACCCAAATAAAATTTCGACATGAATTACTCGCGTAATGGGCTAACAGTTCTTGCAACTTATCCTGCAAAATAATTCATCACAAACATATATATTCACAACCATAGGCATTGGCTTTTCTTAGCCATAGCCACACTTTTCATACTCCACAACTGCATACCATACTTATACATGCCATAATCGTCACAACTTACATAATTACACAAATATACACATATCATCAACTTTCCACACCTGTGGATATCTCACACTACATCAGAAGCTAGTCTTGCTCAGCTCCCACCTATACACCTATCTACTGCTGCTGCTGATGATGATCTGCTTACACATAGCATAAGCAGAGGAAAATAATAAAAGAGGGTCAGCTCATAGCTGAGTGAGATAATCATAGCATAGTGAGTTCATAACAGAGCATACCCCTACCATACATCTAGCAACCAAGCCAAAGCACTAGGATCAGACCTCAGCCATCCGACATCCCAATAGGCAAAAGACTCAACCACCTTGACTTATGCATATGCGTCTTATCATGTTTTACTTATAGGCGCCTGGCTACTCCCATGCTAATTACTCTCCCGGGAATACGGACCAAACATCTCGTGGATGTGGTCATATCGGACCCACCACTGCCGGTGTAGTCATATCGGACCTGACACCACTATGGGTGTGGTCATATCGGACTCAACACCACTCTGGGT